CTGCCAGAGGACACCCAGCAAGAGCCCGAACCCCCGGGGGCTCGTCTTTGTGTCCCGCTCCCTCTCTCGCCCCCGAACTTAGCGTAGTAGAGGGGTAAGGCGTGAGGCCGGGGGTTGGGACGGACGGACGGACACGGAAGGCGCTGCCCGACGGCAGCCTGGGCGGGGGGCTGCTGCCCCGCCGGGCTTTCAGGCGCTTTCCCTCCGGGGGGAGCGCCCCGCCGACCCCGGGATGAGGGCGGCCGGGACGGCACTCGCCCCTCGCTGTCTTGCAGGCCGACTGCGGCAGCCCCGTCTGGTCGGCGAGAAGCAGCAGCTTCGACGCCGTCTACTGCCCCGAGATGGCCCACGGTAAGCCCGACGCGGGGGGAGGAGTGTGGAGGCGGGGGTCGGGGGGGGCCGCCCCGCTTCCCGCGCCACTTATGGCTCGGGACCCCGCTGTAACGCGCTGCCGTCCCGTGTCCCCCCCTCCCCCGGCCGCAGGGTATGCCGCCGAGCAGAGCGGCGCCCTGTCCAGCCTGGACTGCCTCTCCAGCATCGTGGACCGCCTCTCCCCGGCGGAGGAGCCGGGGCTGCCCCTCCGCGACGCCGACTCCCTCTCGCCCAGCGCCAGCATCGACTCCGGGCCGGGGACGCCCGGGACGCCGCCCCCGCGACGGACCTACCAGGCGCTATGAGCGGGGGTCCGGGGGGGCCAGCACCTCGCCGCCGCCTCCGGGGCCGCTGCTCCCCCCGCACCCCCGGGATCGCCCCCCTTGCCCAGCCGCGTCCCGCAGACGCCTCCCGGGCGAGAGGGGCAGACGCAGAGCCGCTTGCCCCGCCGCCTCCCGCCGGGGCTGGGGGCAAAGCGCCCCGGCCCGGGGTCCCCCCCGGGGCAGACAGACCCCGGGGCTCGGGACACACGCGATACCCTGGAACCCCCGCTGCAAATAAAACGTGCTGTAAGAGAGCTGTCTGGCCTTCTGGTTCTTCAAGTGCGTTCCCTGGTACTGGGAGGGCAGCGAGTCCCGGCTGCAGGGTGCCCCCCAGCATCCCTGTTCAGCCCCAGCCCAGACTCGGTCACCCCCGGCTCCTGCCTGCCTGAAGACCTGCTTCCTCATGGGGTGACGGGGTGGCTTGCTGGGCTGGGGCCTGCCATCTCCACTGGGTATTGGAGGAACAAAAATGTGGATGGTCAAGTTCTCTATTCTCTCACCGTTGCTCCCCTGCTATGGCCAGATTTTCCTTTATTTTCTGCAAGACTATTTCATAGTTGTCATTTTTTTTTTTTTTTCTTCCCCTCACTCCTCCCTTCCTCCCCCAAAAGCACTATGTTTTTTTCCCTGGGTATGAAAACTGAACATGTATTCCAGGATTTGGCCCTAAAACTGCACGGTGACTCTCCTCTGTAAAACAACTGTGTGATCTAGCTCTGATACCCTGTCAGGGAATTGTGCTCTCTCTCACTCTTGGTGCTCTGTGAGACAAACTTAGCAAGGTTAGTAAGAACAAACCACAAGTATCTCTTTCACAAGGTACATTTCACAATATTTAGAAAGCAGCATAGATCAATGTGTTCCTAATGACTTTGGTCCCACCAGCCAGGATGAAAGTTCATTACTCTATTTACAGGGGTCTAGAAATGGCCAGGTCAAGTCTTCGTGAGTTTCAGAGTTAACAAGTATTTCCTTCCAGGCACTAAATCTGGAAGGAAATTGTCTTTCTACCACAAAAAATTTCCAGCCCTTTGCACTTCTCTACTTGTAATCCAAAACTTTTCTACACCCCCCCAAAAAAAGAGAGAGATGGAGAGATGGGCTCTTTCAGTGCATCCAGAGATGTCTCCTATGATAAACACTCTGCGTGGGGAGGGATATACCCCTCACTAGCGTGGGATAAGGGCGTATTTGCCATTTGTGTTTATGTTGTTAGGGATGGGTGGCCAAGGGACCTGGAAGTGGCATTTCACCTCTGATAAATCTTTTGAACCTGGCCCAGCTTAGCCATGTCACTGAAAGTTGCCACCTGACTGCTTGTTGGCAGTGCCTCTGAACCGAGGATGGAGGAAGCCTAGTTTAAGGAAGTCCCCGTCCTTGCAGCACACCAAGGAGGCTGTGCTCCCACAAAGGGCTACAGAGAAGGTGAGGTGGCACCTACCTGCCCGAGGCGCTCAGCTGGGCAGCCGGCAGCTGTGCTTGTGACACAGGGCAAGGCCAGCCTGCCCCCTCCTGCGCTGCTTCCCTCAAAAGCACTTTCTGCCCTTGCTATGTAACCTTGAGGTGTCTTCTTTCCCACAGAGTAATTCAGGAGGAGACTTAACCAGAACGAGCTTTCTGGTGGTCCCAAGGTCCCAAATAATCATTGGGTAAAAAAAGTGGTTTGAAACCCCTGGATTGAGGTCGTGCAGAGGTATGAACGAGGTGTTCACACACTTTTGTTGTTATACGTGCTTCAGGAACGTGAAAGTGCCTTATCTCAAACACAGTCTTTTTTGGTTACGGGCAATCACTTCCTGCACCTTCAGTTCATAAAAATCCCTAAGCAAGGCTATGAGTGTCACTGATTTTATTCATGATTTCTGACACATGGCTGCAGTGCTGTGGCGCTCGCTCCTCTCAACCGAAACACAGCCCCAAGGATACAGCTGAGGGGCAGGATCTAATGCAGTGCAGATAATTGTAAATGATGGTTTAAAATGAGCTAAGCTGGAGAACTTTCAGCATTTCATTCTGCACTGTGCTGACCTTGGCAAGCCATCGCCTGTGAAGTATGCAGAGTAACACTAGCAAATCACATGTTGGTAATGTACACCTCTCTTTGGCTGGCAGACATTTTAAGAGTTGCAAAAAGGTCAATACTTCTGAGAAGCAGCTTTTCAGAGAGCGAGGAGAAACTATCCCGTCTGTGGGATGTTTGTCCACAGCCTCCTCCGTCCTACTAGACTAGATTACAATCTGAGGGTTTTGTTATACATACCAAGAAAACAAACTCTTAATTACAGGACATCTATAAACAAAGCTCCCATGAGCCGAAGCGTGCTGTAATCCTCAGAAGTGGAAGTTAGCACCATGAAACCACCTCTAGCCCGTGGACTGGGAAGAGCAAGGTGCAAAAGCTGCTGTCTTGGAAGATACACTGTTGTGGTCAGATTTGCATATTCAATAATAATAATAATAAGTGTAATCGAAAAGAAAGATTTGTATTCTCTGTGTTCAAGTTCATGTAAAGATGGCTGTGCCCACTAATACAAGAGAAGATGATGGTCTAGAAGACCTGAGCTCCACCTCTGTCAACTCCTACTACGCGGCTGAGCGCTGCCAGCTCGGCAAGGACAGGCAGTTGATCTCACAGGCAGGCGGAGGGAAGCCTCGTGGTGTCAGAGTAATGTAACACAGAAGCTGCAAGTTTTCCGACTATCACTCACTGAATGAAAGGCATAATTTGGTGCCATTTTAAAAGAAAAATTAATTTTTTATTTTAATTTTGCCTCTGAAAATCATGCTTTCTGGGCTTATATTCTGACTGAGGGAGGCAGCTGTACTTTTGTGTGTGTGTGAAGAGCTTCTATTTTTTATCTTTTGTTAAGAAACAAAGCAGAGATCTTCAGTGAAACACATATTTTAATCACAGATTAAAAATTCCACTGTACATTGCAAAACTGACAAAGGAACCTAGCAAAGATCTCTCATGTACAACATTAGGACAAAAATCCTGCTTGCTCTATGTTTGTATTTCTGAGTTGCTTGTGTGGAAAAACACTCATTTTTCCTGCAGGAAAAGGTCAGCCTCTTTCATCTCCTGTTGTAAGGCTTTTTAAAGTGAAAAACTTCTAGTAATTAGTTCTCTGAGGATGAAGAGGTCTTAATTCATACTGTTTGTCAGAATATGCCTAGGAACACCTAGGCTGCGTTTCAGGGGAAACTCAGCATCTTCGCCTTCCCCGCTCAGCCTGCTTGTCAGGAGCAGTCAGACTTAACCACAGCAGGCAGCTGACTTCTCCCCACCCCAGACCTGCTCCCTCCCCTCCTCCTCCTCTGCAGAGCTCTTGACTCGCTCATCACTTCTCCTGGCTTCTCTCAGCTGGACCTTGGGGTCCCACAGGAGGACCTACAGCTGGCCAGCCGATGACTGCTGACCTTTGGCAGGCTCTGCACGGGGGTATCAGCCTTACAGCTGGCCACAACTGCCTTCCTGGCAGCTAAAGACCTAATGAGCTTGGCCAGCTGGAGACCGGGCTGGGATCCTGCTGGCTAATTTGACCCTGTGTGTGGGATGGAGGAGTTTACCCTCAAATGTGGAGGGGCCAAGCAGTGCATCTGTCCACGTGCTGCCTTGGGGTATCAGGGTAGGCTCCTCTTGTAGCTAACTGGATTAGTGGAATGAGTGAAAAACAGACTTCAGAGCTATTTTTCTTGTGCTTTCATTGGGTTTTCTGTTGAGCTTAAGCTTCACCAGTGTCCGCCTTTGCTCTCACTACATCTCATGCTGTTCTCTCCATTTGGTCCGAGACGTAAACCCACCCACCAGACCAGGGCTGGACTGAGGGAGTTATCCCAGACCAGCTGAAAGGTACCATGCAGTCCTGGAGTCTGACTTCGTTTTGAGCATTAGTAGCATTGGTGGACTGTCTGGCAATCTGCTGGAAGATGGTGGTGGCTATGATGCCAAAGGCATTGCTCAGATCTACTTGAAGAAGGTGGCAGTGGGCGTGATATACGAGGGTCAACAAGCCCAGGGAGAGATCAGAAAGGTAGCTCAGTGTCGGTGTTAAATCAAGGGCGTTTGAATCTGATACTCTCCGAGGGGCCTTCAAACCTGGAATAGCAGAAGAATAAATGTCTGTGTTTTATCTTTATTTCTCTGATCTTCTATGAATATATGCTTTTGAACGGATATTATTTTCTGTTTTAAAAATCCTTATGACCTGTATGCTATGCAAAAATTAAATCCTACAAAGAAGTCTGATTTTTTTCCTTAAGTGCCAAATCTTACTGCTTGCAGTGGGACTCAGCTAACTAGCAGGGACTCAAGAACCCAGCAAAGGTCTGGTCGGAGTATAAAACTCAAGCTGGTGCACCTATAATACATTATAGGGAACCAAATTGTGTATTAAATCACATTTGAATCCAGCCCGTTGCCTTGAATAGTTGGATTACACGGAATGTATTAAAATAATAAATCAATAACTCCTTAATTAATGGTGAGCAAACAATGACTATAACTTCAATTACACTTGTGTATAGCTCAGTCAAAGGCTTCATTAGCAAATGCATCGCTACTGCAACAGAGTGGTTTTTTTTTGTAGATGGAACTATTTGAATCTGCTGATAAATCATTCTGTTTCCCTCATTTCCATGCTTTAAGTAACCATATATGCAAGATGTTGTGGGTTTCTTTTTTTTGGTGAGTTTTTCTTTTTTTTTCACTAGTATGAAAAAGTAGTAATTTGTTTGTTTTCCTCTCTACTTTGTAATGTTTTGAAGAAATAGGAAGACAAACAGTATTTCCATTCCGAAAAGTGTTTTTTTCTACAATTGCCCTTTTGGAGCACCTTCAGATTGAGCTAATTGTGCAATTCTGAAACTCGCTGCCTGAGTGCTTTGAAAAGCAGAAGAGGAAGTGTCTCTGCTGGCCACACGGAAGGTGAATCCGAAGTATGTACCTGAAATCCCTTCCTCAAATTCAAGGCTCTATGTGTAGACTTGTGGTAAACACCTTCATAGACAGTAGAGATCATAGCAACAATTTTTAGGTTTAACTAAGCTATTTCAGTGACTTGAAAAAGTAGCTCAAAAAACATTAAGACCCCTCAGAAGTGGCTGGAGTAGAGTCAGTTGGGCATCTGGGAGGTGGATGCTTTTGCTCTGGTCCTCACTTCATGATTCTGTCTTCATTGGATGGTATCAAGTTGTTATCAGGAACAGACAACAAAGCTCCCTTCTCCTCTGGTG